GGAAAAACACAGCAATATATGGGTATGTCGCTGGTCCTATAGCTGCCACTCGTCTGCAGTACATTGCGGGCATGCAGACGGGGAGTGGTTAATTTGGTTAAAATTTTGCATGACCAAGCAATTGCCAGAGTAGCACAGTGCTGATAAGTAAAAAGCGATTGATGAAAAATGTTAATATTTGTTTTTGTGCCAGCTTGAAGAAGCGTTTAGGAACATTAGTGTTTTATTAACTTTTTTGCAGTACATGAAGGGGGAAAAAAAACTTGGTAAAAAACTATTACGAGCTTTTATGAGCATTTAGGAGCATTCACCATTTTTTCTGCTGGGAAAATGCTCCCAAAAACTCTACAAAAATATTTTTCTTTCTGCTCCTAAACGCTGAAGCTAGAAAAACAATTCTAGCATAAAATAGTGTGTATGGACACATAGGATAACACTATAAACTTCTAGGAGCAAAAAAAAAAATGTCATAGGTTCTAGGAGCTTAAAAAAATGCTAGTGTGCATGGAGCCTAACTGCCTCACAGGAAAAAAAAAACAAAACAATAAATTCAATTAAAAACAATAACAATTTATTGTAAAGGGGGGGGGGGGGGGTTGAGGAGGGATACTGATGCCTGAACATTTTTTACCTTAATGCAAGGAACTCATTAAGTTTAAAATGTTTAGGCTTTATAACCACTTTAATCTTTCTGCTTAGCCAGCAAAGATAGATTCATAAGGTGCATATACAATTTCATTTACCGTATTTTTCACCGTATAAGACGCACTTTTTCTTCCCCAAAACTGGGGGGGAAATGTCAGTGCGTCTTATAAGGCGAATATGGAGCGGCCGGTCCGGTATTTCCACCGCGGCTGTGTCAGAATACTGGGCCGGCCGCTCAGCTCTGCAGCGGGACCTTACCTGTTCCTCTATCCAGCGGCGCGCTGTCTTCCGGCTTCTGTAGTGTGGGCACTGGGTATGACAGCCGGGTGCCAAGTGCGCATGCGCAAGAAGCGGTGCTTTTTGTGAATGGTAAGGCTGTACCTGGGACACATGACAGATCCCAGAAGCCGCCGGACCAATCAAAAAGCGCAAGTGCTTCTCTCTCATGCGCACTGGGCACCCGGCTGTCATGCCGAGCGCCATTACAGAAGCCGGGAAGACAGCGCGCGGCTGGATCGAGAGGAACAGGTAAGATGAAACAAAAACTCTGCGGAAGTAAGAGCGGGTACCTGTCAAATTCAGGGTACCCGCGCCCCACCTCCCCAAAGGTCAGCAGTCATCTGTACTGTCCGCAGTCTCTGGTCATCCCTGTGCTGTCCGCAGTCTCTGGTCATCCCTGTGCTGTCCGCAGTCTCTGGTCATCCCTGTGCTGTCCGCAGTCTCTGGTCATCCCTGTGCTGTCTGCAGTCTCTGGTCATCCCTGTGCTGTCTGCAGTCTCTGGTCATCCCTGTGCTGTCCGCAGTCTCTGGTCATCCCTGTGCTGTCCGCAGTCTCTGGTCATCCCTGTGCTGTCCGCAGTCTCTGGTCATCCCTGTGCTGTCCGCAGTCTCTGGTCATCCCTGTGCTGTCCGCAGTCTCTGGTCATCCCTGTGCTGTCCGCAGTCTCTGGTCATCCCTGTGCTGTCCGCAGTCTCTGGTCATCTCCTGTACTGTGTCTGCAGTCCATTAGTTTTTTTTCCCTGTTTTCTGCCTCTAAAATCTAGGTGCGTCTTATGGTCAGGTGCGTCTTATACGGCGAAAAATACGGTATGTACAGTATATACCTGTATTCACACATACACTTTTTATTATCTGCCCTATCTGTGTAGTTTATAGTCTGGGCATATTTTTAGAGTTAGGCCTGTGTGATAACAACCATTTGTAATCAGAAAATGAAACAAATACTCTAGTTATAGTTAGTCTGGCTGAAAAAAGACAAACGTCCATCCAGTTCAATCATAGAACTAAAAAAAAAGTTATAATCCTACACCCACAGTTGATCCAGAGGAAGGAAAAAAAAACCCCAGCAAACCACGATCCAATTTGCTCCCGCTGGGAAAAAAATCCTTCCTGATCCCCCGAGAGGCAATCAGATATTCCCTGGATCAACTTTATCTATAAATGTTAGTATCCAGTTATATTCTGTGTATCTAAGAAACAATCCAGGCCTTTTTTGAAGCAATCTACTGAGCTGGCCAGAACCAACTCTTGAGAGAGTTTATTCCACATTTTCACAGCTCTTACTGTAAAGAAACCTTTCCATGTTTGAAGATTATATTTCTTTTCCTCCAGATGTAAAGACTGCCCCCTTGTCCTCTGTGATGACCTCAGGGTGAATAGCTCTACACCGAGTTCACTATATGAACCACTGATGTATTTATACATGTTGATCATATCCCCCCTTAATCTCCTCTTCTCAAGAGAGAATAAATTCAGTTCCTCTAATCTTTCCTCATAGCTGAGCTCCTCCATGCCTCTCATCAATTTGGTTGCCCTCCTCTGTACTTTCTCCAGTTCCCCAATGTTCTTTTTGTGAATTGTTGGCCAAAACTGAACTGCATATTCCAGATGAGGTCTTACTAATGATTTGTACAGGGGGAAAATTATATCTCTCTCTCTGGAGTCTATACCTCTTTTAATACAAGAGAGGATTTTGCTTGCTTGTTCAGATGCTCACACCATTGTTCATGTGGTCTCTGCTCCTGGACCTGAGTAGTGACATTCAGGCATTCAGGATGGTCAATAGGTGGCTTTTTCTGAACACTCCCCATCTTCTTTAGTAGAGACTGCATGACCAGTTCCATTGCATTGGTAAAATAAGTGGGAATTGAAGTATTAAACAAGCATTGCTGCGTTAGGAAATTAGTGCTTTTTTGTTTTACTTGCCTATTATACAGCCTAAGTGTTATAGTGTTTGACTGCAAGTTCAAGACAATTGCTTCTACCTGGCCAACACACAAATGTATTTGTATTTTCTTTGTTTCAGGCCTTTGGGATCAACTCAAATGAGAAGTTTGTCATTTCAACAACAAACAGAAAGGAAGTAACTGTCACAAACTTTAGTAAGTGTATATTCAGATATAGTATATAAGTTATGCGGACATTAATAAGAAAAAATCATTGTCTGTTTTGGCTATACAATGATGTGTTTGTTATTTGTATGCTCTTTATCTTTTTATTGTTATTGAACTTCAGAAATGAGGCAAAAATCTACCTTTGTGGTGAGGATCACACACTGCAGTAGTGAAAATATATGTGCATCCTTACCTTGTAAAGTAAGAATGCTTTCAAAATGGACCTACTTTGTCTCATGGTTACTTATATTGGTCAAATTTACAGATAGTCCATTCCTTTCGATATTTAGGCATCCAAAATCATACCGATATTTCCAAATTTGAAGACTTTAATGTTGCCTCCATAGTTACACAAATGGAAGCCAAACTTTATACCTGGTCCTCTTTGCCACTTAATTTGTTTGGTTGTATTAACATTTTTAAAATGGTATATTTGTAAAACTTTTTATATGTTTTTAGAGCAACCCTGGTCTTTTTGCCTAAGAAAGTTTTGTTTTTCATTGCACCGAGGCTGTCTTGTCCATCTTCCTGTGGAATGGGGCACAACCTCGTATAGCCAGGTCCTCACTACAGGTCCCTATATCTGATGGAGGTCTGGCCTGCCCAAATCTTCATAACTATTTTATAGCCTCTCAACTCACTTTTGTTTGACTGGTTCGACTCCACTTCCCAAACCCCTCCACTATTCTATTCGCATTTTGCAGCCCTGCCGATTTACTGAATGATGAACTTCACAGGTCTGTTGTTTCTTGATGTTTTAGATCTTCCCCTGTGGATGTATGTTTTATAGCTTGGCAAGAAGGTGGAAAACTACTCTCTTCGACTGCCTCAGGGGTGTCGCCCTATTCCCCATTGTGGTTGAATTGATAAAAACGGACAGAAGGGGGCGCCAATCTGAGTGTAGAGAGTTATTAATTTATTAATAACATAAGGTATAGAAACTACTCACAAACATCATGAGTAAGAAAGCATGGTAAGGTAATCCTTTGGTAAGCCGTCAGTCCACCAGCGGTGTGGGTCTGGGTCGTTCGAGATGAACAGGGATGGAGTTGTCAGCTGTACAGTGAGTTTGAAAATGGTGCCGAAACCAGCGTGGACCACAAGGAAGACAGGGACTCGGTGGGCGACCAATGGCAGAGCAGGAAAATGTCAGGTGACATGTTTCGAAGCAGTAGCTTCTTCTTCAGACCTGATTGGCTGTCAGGGGTTCTGGTATTTTTATAGGGAAAAGACAGGATGGGGCGGGCTGATTTGAACTTTTGAAGAACAGCTCAGGGGAGACTGTCAGCAGAATGGATCGGCGGATGGGATCGGAGCACCGCCGATAGGGCAGCGGGGTAAAAGTTTGAACATAGTGACAACATAGTAAAAACAGTACTAACACAAGAGTCTGATGTGAATAATTAACATGAGTGGTGGCTAATAAACTGTAATATACATATCTTTTTATTAAAATCCACAGCACGTGTGTCCGTTCTTCATCCACCACCTGTATACAAAGCCACAACAATGTGCTCGATCCCTTACCGCTTTTACCAGCGAGCCCAGGAAACTATCTGATGGTTTACGAGGCTGGCCATAGTGGTGGTCAGAGACCAGATTGTCTCTCATCACCTCTATGATCTTGGAGGGCCGAAGTGACTCAATTTCTGGTCGAAGGCGGAAGTAAAGTATTTTTGATCTTTTGCTTTAAAGGTAGGGGAGAGACTTGGGGTCTTTTAGACCCCAAATCTCTCCATAAAGAGGACCTGTTATCCCTTATTTCTATTACAAAGGCTGTTTACAGTATTTTCGCTCCATAAGATGCACCTAGATTTTAGAGGAGGAAAACAAAAAAAAAAAATTCTGAACCAATGGACTGCAGACACAGTACAGGAGATGACCAAAGACTGCGGACACAGCACAGGAGATGACCAAAGACTGCGGACACAGCACAGGAGATGACCAAAGACTGCGGACACAGTACAGGAGATGACCAAAGACTGCGGACACAGTACAGGAGATGACCAGAGACTACGGACACAGTACAGGAGATGACCAGAGACTACGGATACAGTACAGGAGATGAGCAGAGACTGCGGACACAGTACAGGAGATGAGCAGAGGCTGCGGACACAGTACAGGAGATGACCAGAGGCTGCGGACACAGTACAGGAGATGACCAGAGACTGCGGACACAGAACAGGAGATGACCAGAGACTGCGGACACAGAACAGGAGATGACCAGAGGCTGCGGACACAGTACAGGAGATGACCAGAGACTGCGGACACAGAACAGGAGATGACCAGAGACTGCGGACACAGAACAGGAGATGACCAGAGACTGCGGACACAGAACAGGAGATGACCAGAGACTGCGGACACAGAACAGGAGATGACCAGAGACTGCGGACACAGAACAGGAGATGACCAGAGACTGCGGACACAGAACAGGAGATGACCAGAGACTGCGGACACAGAACAGGAGATGACCAGAGACTGCGGACACAGAACAGGAGATGACCAGAGACTGCGGACACAGAACAGGAGATGACCAGAGACTGCGGACACAGAACAGGAGATGACCAGAGACTGCGCACACAGAACAGGAGATGACCAGAGACTGCGCACACAGTACAGGAGATGACCAGAGACTGCGGACACAGTACAGGAGATGACCAGAGAGTGCAGACCTTTGGGAGGAAGGGGGGGCAAGTACCCAAATTTGACAGGTACCCGTTCCCACAGAGTTGTACAACTCCCCCCCCCCCCCCCCCCCTTCCCCGTAGTCTTGTGGGACATGTGACGGGTCCCACAAGACTACGGGGGCCATTCACAAAGCGCAGTACTTCTCACGCATGCGCAGTGGGCATCCGGCTTTTAAGCCGTAAACTGTCACAGCCAGGTGCCCACACTGAAGATGCTGGCGCCAGGGAGAGAAGACTGCCGATGGAAGCAGGACACCACTGGACCGAGGAACGGAGAAAAAGAAATTATAAAAAAATTAAAGCGCCCCATCACTCCGTGCTCCCGCACAGAAGTAAACGCATATACGTAAGTTGCACAAGCATATCCTAGATTGTAAGCTCCAAGGAGCAGGGCCCTCCTTTCCCTCTTGTATTGAACTGTATTGTTGCTGTATTGTCTGTTATATTGTAAAGCGCTGAGCAAACTGGCGGTATATAAATCCTGTATAATAATAATAATATGTAGAGAGTGTTCGCACCACACATGAGAGCAATAATTCTGCCACTAGACCTCCTCTAAATAAATGTCACCATTCCATGAAAATAGTTTTAAAGCACGACATGTTGGGTATCGTTTTACTTTGCGTAACATCCTCTTTCATATACACTGCTCAAAAAAAATTAAAGGAACACTTTTTAACCACCTCCCACCTTGCCAATGTACATAAATGGCCAGGTGGGAGCTTCCCCGTTCTGAGTGGACGTTCCTGTACGTCCCTCAGAACACGTGCCTGCGCGCGGCCCGAGGCCTCACAGCAGCTTGATTCTGTGGGGGCTGTGTCCCTCAGACACAGTCCATCTCGGATTGGGATATGGGCTCTCTGATTGTCCCACCCGATCCCGTGATGGCTATGTCCGATCCCGTGATGGCTATGTCCGATCCCGTGATGGCTATGTCCGATCACGTGATGGCTATGTCCGATCACGTGATGGCTGTGTCCAATCACAGCCGTTTCAGAATGTCAACAGAGACACGAGTCTCTGTAGTTGTTTTCCTCCGGTGAGCTTTGTGAGAGCTCAGTGAAGGAGGGGAAGTGGGGGGGATGTTGCAACCTCTGACAGTTGATCTGTGTAGCTGATGATTTTATTCATCAGTTACACAGATCTGCAACCATCCCACACCAGTGCACCAAGCACCATTTGTACCTGTCCACGTGTCAACATCTGTTTAGTGTACAGTGCACAAAAACATCTCTCATAGTGAACCAGTGCACAAAACAAATAATAATAAAAAAAATTTAAAGTACCCCAGTCCCCCCTTTTTCATGTGCAAAGGCCAACGTACGCATTGGTCTCATATGCATACGTAAACAGCGATCGCACCACACATGTGAGGAATCGCCACAAACGTCAAAGCGAGAGCAATAATTCTAGCACCAGACCTCCTCTGTAACTCTAAACTGGTAACCTGTAAAGGCTTATAAAGCGTCGCCTATGGAGATTTTTAAATATCGTAGTTTGGCACCATTCCATAAGCAATTTTAAAGCGTGAATGTTTGGTGTCTTTACTCGGTGCAAACCATATTTTTTATGGCCACGCAGCTGCGCACTCTTGGTGTGCCTGTGTCCCCTGGACACAGTGCAACGCAGCACGGCAGAAGGGCTCTCTAATTGGCCCTTCTGATCACGGAATGATGGCTGTGTCCAAATACAGCCATAATGTGATGTCAACAAAGCCGCCAGTCTGTTGATCAGCTCTGCCTCTCCTCACACAGAGCCCACTAGTGAGGAGAAGCAGAGCCGATCTGTGTAAAACACACACACATCACTCCATAGTGTCCCCCACACAGCTGTCAGTGCACCAGTGATCCACATCTGTCACAGTGTACCAGTAGTCATCCACATCTGTACCAGTGATCCACATCTGTCACACAGTACCAGTGTAAATTCCATCTCTGTACCAGTGATCCACATTTGTCACGGCATACCAGAGTAAAGTCCACGTGTACCAGTGATCCACATCTATCACAGCGTAGCAGTATAAATTCCGCATCTGTCACAGTATACCAGTGTAGATTTCACATCTGTACCGATGATCCACATGACCCCTTTTTGGAAAGTAGACACCCATTAGGAATTTGATAAGAAGCATTGTGAGTATTTCGCAGATCTCGTTTGTTGCCACAAGTTTTGGGAAAATGAAGAAAAAAAAGAAACAATCATTTTTTATTTTCTTTTTTATATTTCAAAACCTTGTGAGAAAAAATGAGATCTGCAAAATACTCACCATGCCGCTTTTTAAATTCCTTGGGGTGTTTACGTTCCGAAAAGGCGTCATTTGGGGGGTTTGGTGCTATCCTGGCATTTCAGGGCCTCGAAACTGTGATAGGTAGTGAGTTAGTGAAATTAGCAAGTTATGTACCTTCAGGCAAGTAGTCATTGGATTTCATGAAGTGTGCTGTATGTGTTTAGGCTCCCAAAACGTCTCACACATGTGGTACACACCCATACTCGGTAGAAGTAGCAGAATTTATTTTGGGGTGTAATTTCACATATACCCATAGCATGTGTGAGCAATAAATCATTTAAGTGACAATTTTGTGTAAAAAAAAAAAAAAAAAAAATTGTAATTTTCTAAATAGCATTCAAGCAGTGATATTTCAAATGCAATTGAAAAAAAAAAATAATAATTTGGGTGTAATTTCACATATACCCATGACATGTGTGAGCAATAAATCATTTAAATGACAACTTTGTGTTAAAAAAAAAAACATTTTGACATTTTCCAGAAACTTGTGAATAAAGAATAAATCTTCCATGAACTCCAATATGCCTCTCAGCAGATAGCTTAGGGTGTCTACTTTCCGAAAAAGGGGTCATTTGTGGGTGTTTTTACTATCCTGGTATTTTTATCACCTCAAAAAATGTGATAAGCAGTCAGAAAGTAAAAACTGTGTAAATTCCATTTTTTTTAACCAAAAACATGTAGCAGAATAAGTTTTTGGCCTAAATTAAGGAGGAAATTTTAGTTTTTTTTGGATATTTTCAATGACAGAAATGAGAAAATTAGTTTTTTTTTTAAAAAAAAATGTGTTTTTTTCTCAAAACTTTTTGTTTATAGCGCCAAAAATAAAAGGGCACAGGTGATCGACCTAAATAAAGCTCTATTTGTGTGAAAAAAAGGACATAAATTTCATTTTTGTACCGTATTGCTTGACTGTGCGATTGTCAGTTAAACTAGTGCAGCGTTGTATAGCAAACAAATGGCATAAATTGCAGTATCAATTCCATACTTTGTAGATGCTATAAATTTCACACAAAGCAATCAATATACACTTATTTGTATTTTTTTTACCAAAAACATGTAGCAGAATACAGTTTGGCCTAAATGTATAACCAACTTTGAGTTTACTATATATTTTTTATAGCTGAAAGTAACAAATATAGTTTTTCTTAAAAAATTTTCAGTCTTTTTTTGTTTCTAGCGCGAAAAATAAAAAGCGCACAGGTGATCAAATACCACTGAAAGAAAGCTCTATTTGTGTGAAAAAAAGGACATAAATTTCGTTTGGGTGCAGCATTGCATGACTGCGCAATTATCAATTGAATTAGTGCAGCGCCGAGTAGCAAAAAGAGGCCTGGTCATTAAGAGAGGTAAATCCTCTGGAGGGCAACACCACCAATAGGAAGCTCTATCTGCTTAAAAAAAAAGGTGTAAAAATCATTTTGGCACAGTGTTGTTTGACAGTAATTGTCACCATGCTAAAAAACGGTGTGGTAATGAAGTGCTCAAAACATGCTGGTGCTGAAGTGATTAAAGTGAATTTGTAGACAAAATCTAAATGGTGTACTGTAGGTACCAGAGCACGCATATAGAGTCACAAAGTGCATCATGCTCATTTGTAATATGGCAACGTTTCCCTGTTTATTATGTAAAAGTAGTTTTAGAACTGCCCAGCTTGTTTTGAAGCAATTGAAATGTTCTTTTTTTATGTATTTCTAGGTCTGATTATAAAAGATGGCATCACACTTTACCTTCTCAATGCAATTGATCAACTGCTTCCTTCCTCAACTCAAGAGAGAATCAATTTCTTACCTCATTATGATACCCTGGTCAAAAGTGGAATGTATGAATATTATGCAAGTGAAGGACAAAACCCATTGCGTATGTACTTTTTATTTATTTTTTTCTATACATATACAGTGCTGTGAAAAAATATTTGCCCACTTTCTGATATTTTATTTTTTGGCATGTTTGCCACACTTAAATGGTTCAGATCATAAAAAAAAAAAATATTACACAAAGATAACCTGAGTCAATAAAAAATGCAGTTTTTAAATGATATATAGAAAACAAATAAATTGAGCACTACTAGGGAAAGATAGTGAGAGAATAAAAAAGTCCAAAGACCTAATATGGTCAATATGTCCAGTAGGAAACAGCTTGTGATTAGAGCAGGAGATGAAACTGTGAATAGACCAGAAGAGAGGAAAAACAAGCGCCATCTAGGTGTAGTATTAAAAAAAACATTTTAACCACATGCTGCCCAGCCACTGTATAAATACAGCGGCAGGGCGGCACGGCTGGGCAAAACCACGTTTTAAAACGTGTGTTTTGTAAACAGGTATGGGGCGCGCGCGCGAGGTGCGCTGCCGCCCTACCTGTCCCGCTG